ACTTTTTCGTATTCTCGAGTGTTAGTCCCCTTAGGCCCGATGCAGACGAGCGGGTTTTGTTGTACGGGCATTTCTCGAGCATTTCAGAAGTACACAGAAACGTATCAGGAAATACACACGAGGGGGTTTATACGCGGACACCTCACGGCTCGCGGCGGGTGAAAATCGACTGTTGGATATCGCTGTCCCGCTGTGACAAAATGTGCATGGAATTTTGACATTCACACGAGCGTGTAATACCCGCTGCGACAACGCACGACAAAACTCGCTCGTCTGCATCGGGCCTTATTGCATCCAACCTTTCAATTATTATCGTTTACGTTATTTCCAAATGCCTGAACTTTTGTTTATTGGCTGTATACATTATTGGTAATATATACCAGGTCTGTAAATCTGAAAGCGGAATTTGCCCATCGATGGCGCTAGCTGTCAATGTAGTACCGTCAAACCGCGTCATTGGCGCCATTTTCTTGTTTTGACATCTGATAAAGATTTTCAACTTACAACCATACACGTTTCATACAACAGCATAGTTTTTAATAGCGTTGAACATGTCGACTTTTGTGCCTGGGAACTACGATTTGCGGACAGCATTGATTTTCTGTTACCATTTGAAGAGAACTGCTGCAGAATCGCATCGAATGCTTGTCGAAGCTTACGGTGAGCATGCTCTTGTTAAATCACAGTGCTTTGAGTGGTTTAAAAAATTCAAAAGTGGCGATTTTGACGTGAGAAACGAAGAACGTGGAAGACCACCGAAAAAGTTTCAAGACAACGAATTGCAAGCATTGTTGGATGAGGATGACGCTCAAACGCAACAACAACTTGCGGATCAACTAAATGTGACACGAGAAGCCGTCTCCATACGTTTGAAAGCCATGGGAAAGATCCAGAAATGGGAAAATGGGTTCCACATGAACTGAATGAAAGACAGCAGGAAAACAGAAAAACCACTTGCGAAATGCTGCTCGCCAGGTACAAAAGAAAGTCATTTCTCCATCGAATTGTGACTGACGATGAGAAGTGGATATATTTCGAAAATCCTAAGCGTAAAAGATCATGGGTAACTCCAGGCGAACCATCGACATCGACTGCAAGGCCAAATCGCTATGGACGGAAGACAATGCTCTGTGTTTGGTGGGATCAGAAGGGTGTGATCTATTATGAGCTGCTAAAACCTGGCGAAACCGTTAATACTGAACGCTACCGACAACAAATGATCGATTTGAATCAAGCTTTGCGTGAAAAACGACCGGAATATCAAAAAAGGCAACACAAAGTGATTTTGCTTCATGATAATGCACTATCACACACAGCAAAACCGGTCAAGGAAACGATTGAGGCGCTTAGTTGGGAAATACTTTCGCATGCGGCTTACTCACTAGACTTGGCTCCATCCGATTTTTACTTATTTGCATCGATGGGACACGCACTTGCTGAGCAGCGCTTCACATCTTACGAAAATGTACAAAAATGGCTCGATGACTGGTTTGCCTCAAAAGAGGAACAGTTTTATTGGCGTGGCATCCACAAATTGTCAGAGAGATGGGAAAAATGTATAGCTACCGATGGGCAATACTTCGAATAAAATATTTTGTATCATTTTCATACAATAAACGTGTATTTTCTATACAAAAATTGCGGTTTCATATTTACATACGTGGTATATTTTATGATAGACAAAAATTTCGTTGTTAAAACCATACTAGACGATGTTAGAATACACTGTTGCGTGATGCGTATTTTATGCGCAAACTATCAGCACAGTGATTCATTTTATTGCGTAAATGTTTCTCTGTACATAATTTCAGTGAAGCTAAAATTAAGTATTGTGTTAAATAATGCAAATGTTTTAAATACCGATCGTTTGTAGTAGGTATGTATGAACGTACGCTGTGTGCACTGTAACGACGTCTGGCATGGTCTTAATAACAACATTTTAACCTGTCATAGAATATATAAATTACTAATAACGTCCACAACTAATAAACAAAAGTTTTTTGGAAATGACGTACAACGATAATTTATACTACCAAATTAATCGCGTCCCAACCACTTGGAACATGCATGAACGGATGCAATGTGCACTTTAACCTAGTGATGTATAAAGCTCGAGTCTTAGAAGTTACCAAGTTCAGCCTTAACCTCAGTCTTTAAGGCTAATATCATATGAAGCTTGAGGTTTGAGCTTCAAGGCTCGAGTTGTCGAGGCTCGATGCTCGAGTTTCATGGTTCGGGCCTTGAAACTCGAGGCTTTTATGTTTCACGTTTAACACGTTACCTACCGAGTGTGTTCTGCTGGTTTTGTCTTTAGTGCCTAAGAGTGATTGCCTATTAGAATCATATCGTGATAAAATATATTACACAAGATGATTATATTGTGAAAAATTATCATGCGTAGTACATTAATCTCGCTGTCGGTCATCTATGACCTCGTAGGAGTAGGAGTAGGACGACGTAGGAGTGTGTTGTCAGACGATAATACTATATTTCGAACATTACAGACAAATTTCCAGCTTAAAGGCTCGAGCTTTCACGGCTCAAGGTTCGAACCTTGCGGGTTCGAGCATTTAGACTGTAGGGTTTGAACCGCGACTCGAGTTATTAAAGCTCAAGACTCGAAGCTCATTTTAACAACACTACTTTAACCCAGTCTGGCAGTACTTTTGCAAGGACCAAATAGTCTGCCAATGGTATAGTTGGAAGCTGACGAGAAGCACTCCAATCAAATTTGTTTGTGACAAAGGCAGCGAACCGGACCCACAAGATCAAGTGAGATAGAGCGATAACAGAGTAATCACATGGTACTGACGTAGCGTCTTGCAGTGCTAACCATTGGTCGGCGAAATACCCCTTTTGCCCCTGTGCATTTCAGTTTCTAGGAGCGCGGCCAACTCAGCAACTCCCAACTGTACCTTGACGTTCGTAGCATACTATAGTACAGTGGACTTCAACTATATTAGTATGGTCGGGGCTGTAGGGGAGTAAGATGGAAATGAGTTTCGAGCCCCCTCCATGCTAAGTTCTATCATCGTACCCGTACCCTCGGCATCAGCGCCTGCGCAAATGCTGGATTGTTGGTTGGAAGAGCGAATTTGTGTGCTCGAAAGCACATGTGAAGGAGAAGTGCTTCGTGTGGCAATATGTTTAGTGGCAATATAGTTGGAGTCCACTGTATAAGCAAACAAATTTTCAGACATTTGGATATGATGTTTTTGCCTCTTGAAATTTGACACCGTTGGACACATACCCTCGCGAAACGCGAGATTTCCGGCCAGTTAGACTGATGATTTTGTGATTGGAAACACTGTTTGCATCGTTTAAAGTAAAAAATTTACATTTGGAAATAACGTTCGAATCTTCGTAGCCAGTTCTCCGTCTATATTTGAATACGGGGAATTGCAACAATTACATTATACAGTAAAGATCCCTTAATTGCTCGGAATGCGGGATCCCCATGCGAGTAACTAGCGGATAGGTACATTATTTCCACCACTCGTGAATATCAATCGAGTGTCCGCAGCTGACGTTGAGTGTGGTCATAGAGGCACCGATTTTGGATGATTCGCCCGACGCCCGATGTCGGCTGAACGTTTCAACGTATCGTGAAGCACTGCGTGATCGCGCAGTAACTAATCAGATCGGCCGACGTCTGACGAAAACAATCTGGCGACCAATGCGGTGTCAATGTGACCACGGCCTTGGTATATTTCCGGAACAGAAAAGGACAGCGAGCGAGAGAGAGGGGGACTGAGCGTCGACTCAAGCCACACTATCCAGATGTCGTCGAGTCACCGACGAAGGTGTTGCTAAAATCGTACGTAAATGCGTACACTGACTATGTAGTAAGTGTATACATTTACATAACTTCACGCTTTTACTGTGACATATATGTACAAAGCAAGATGCCAGCTGTTCAAAATTATCTTCACAGTCTGTCGTTCAGTTTGAGATTCCGACGCGTCGACACATCGGTTGTGCGTGAGGACAAACAGTATACATACGTCCATCGGATTGGACGGGTTAATAGAAAGAAACATGTTAAATAATATTAATGTTGAGTTATTAATTAGCGAAGTAAAAAAAAGAGGTGTAATATGGTAGACCTCCAATGAGGATTATAAGGATAAAAATAAGAAAAATGCCAACTGGTGACCGTGATATATAATTTTTAAATACACTGTACACGTACGTCCGTACGAAATGACATTCGTCGCAACGCAGTCATCGTCTCGCGACGTTCGTGTGTTCCTAGCTTAAACCCCTGCGGCTGCCTCGACGCTCAATTTCCTTCTTTCCGTTTCAAGAGTGCGCAGTTAAAATCTGTGTCAGTCTCCGTTTCTTGCTCGCGGCGCCAGCACCAAACAGACACCGGGGAGAGATCGGACCAGATACGAGCGAGCAGCAGAACGGACAGTAGTACACTTTTTCGCACCTCCCTTTTGTCGGCAGCAAAGGTGCCGACAAAGGGAAGGTGCGAACAAGTTTGCTTCTGCCCGTTAAGCTGTTCGCTCTATATGTATAGCTGCGCGCGCACACCTGTTGCGACGACAGAACCGGATCATGGCGAACCATGGTGAAAATGCGCGCTAATACGATGACCAATACGTTTGATTCTCGCGAAAAGGTGGTAATGCTAGCCTATCATGGGCGTCTTTTCCTCCCTGTGAAACTAGTCAAGCGTTCAGTGGTGGGGATGATATTTGAACACTCAGTTTCGCGGAGCCTTCGAATACTCATCAATGATTTGCTGTATTATTCTTTTCGTACAATGAATTGCAAATTCAATAAACTATTGACGAAACGTGTAGTATATACATTATAGCGCAAGTATAATTTAAAACAGTTCACACATTTCGTTTGATGTTTATTAAAACTGTGATGGGTAGAAGTACTTTGATAACAATATACAAGTAAAACAAAATGAAATCTTATATTTTTCACTGTGGTTAGAGGGGTTACTGTACAGGTACATCTATTTGAATTTTTCTCCATTTCAGAGAAGTAAATCCTATATTTGAAGGGAACCAACAACAAGATGCTCATGAACTTTTAGTGTGCTTGCTCGATAACATTAGAGAGACATTTCAGCTGTTGCTACGACACAGAGAAAGCCAGTTTGGTCAAAGTAATGGATTATCAGACTTCTCTGCCGAACATTCAGGAGACATACAGACAGAATGTACTAATTCTAGTAAGAAAAACATTTGTAAGTCTAGAAAAAAGAAGAAAATAACCACAAGGGGAAGTTCATCTTGCCTTGTACAGTCCAATTTGAATGGCGTATCAGTGTCTTCTAGGCCATATGAAAATGGTCACTCTGAGTTTCTAGAAATTAACAGAGATATAAATGGTCATAGACCGGAAAGCAAAAAGTGCTTCATTTCTGAAGATTTTGAAGGAATCAGTCTCTTGCGAACTACATGTCTTGAATGTGAACACGTAACAGAACGAAAAGAAACATTCTGCGATATCTGTGTGCCTATTGATATTGATCGGTCAAATGAAACTGGTAGGTGGTGTTAATCATGGTATTAGGATTGTAGTAAATCATTAATCGTATGTAGACTGTAGGTATACTTATTCATAGATGAAGACGTAAGGTCAATGGATAGTAGCGAAGTGTACAGACGTGCAGTAGTTACCAGTGAACTTCTTTGGGGTAGAGACAAGTATTGGTGTGCTCGTTGCCTTCGATATAATGAAGCTCGAAGAGCTGTGTGTTTTCCATCGTTACCAAGACTCCTCATATTGCAATTGAAACGATTTTCCACTGCAGCAGGGTAAGACAACATATTCTTCCTTTTTTATTCAATCAAAGACTCATAAATTCATATTTCCTTCATATTCTAGGTCCATGGAAAAAATTAATAATCATATGCCAACGCCATTGACTTTACAATGTTTCTGTGAAGAGTGCAACAATGATCAGGCACGTGGGACCGGTGGTAGATCGGAATCTCGACACGTGTATAAACTGTATTCTGTAATTATGCATCAGGGTGCAACCATGACAGCCGGTCACTATGTTGCGTACACCCGGTTACCGGATGAGTCCGCCTTTACAGAGTATTTCCAGTGTGACAGGGATAGTAAGGGACAGAGTTCTGGTCAAAGTAGCAGCAACACAAATACAAATGCAAATGCATCTTCGTCGGATAAAACGTCAGGCATATTTAAATACTTCAGAAGTAAACCGAGTGCTAGCGAGTCGAAAGAGCAATTGGTCAGAGTCGGTTGCCGCAGTATGGATTGTTGTGGTATCAGACGTCATAAATGTCCTAGTACTTGGCTGGAATGTGATGACGAGACAGTACATGTGATCCCCTTAAGAGAATTGGAAGATAAACTAGCGCCCAATCCGCGGAATTCTGCTACTCCTTATCTCTTGTTCTATGTGAGGTCCATGACATAACTTTTTCCCAATGTGTAAAGTGTTAGAAGTAAAAGTATCAGCGGGATTTGGTTTCCCTACTAACGATTGCTGTGATGTTATACACATTCCAAGTTAGTCTGAACGTACTCTATTGGACTGAGAGCGTGTATAATTTCCTAGGAAATAAATGATATATCACAATCACATTTAAAGATTAGAATTTGGTAGTTAAGTGATACGCAATAAGTTCTTGAAGTTTAGACGGTGATGCTATTCACGATCTCTTACTATCAAATACCACCAAATATCAATTTGTATTTTGATGATTAATGTTAGTTGGGACGTGGAGTATTTTATTTTTAAGTTATCTGTGTATAAATAAAAGTGTGTATTCTTGATTTAATTACCTTCTTCTTCATAGTTTTTAAGTACTTTAGAAGTTTAATGAAACTGTGAGAATAATTGTAATGATTTTGTAAGTTCATGCCGCGACTTTTATTATTTTACATTTTCATAATAGGCATTATTCAGAACACATATTACATTGTTCAACACGTATTTGGACCACTAATATTCAATAGGTACTTCTTATAGATTTTTATGAGCTCAATACGAACTGCAAACCGTTTTTCGCCCTTAGTTCTAGTCTTCGAAAAAATTGATTTTGAAAAAAAATGCAGATTTTCAATTTGGAAGATGTTTTATGCTGAAACAGTAATAGATATTAGTAGCTATACTAGGCCGATTCTGGCTAACGGATCCAACGGAAATATCGTTGATAACGGTATTGTACTCGTACATATCGCAAACCTAACCGGCTCCAACGAAAAGTTCTCACGCTGTTGCACGCGCGCATAAGATGGACCTGACCTTGATAAAATTTTTGGAATTATTATGCTTTTGCATTCGTACCTATAGCAATCTATACCCCCATTATTATGCTATCGCACTCGTACCTATCACAGGATTCCGCAACGGAAATTTAGTTTTAATAAAATTATATTATTACGCTATTGCACTCGTACATAAGGCAGACCTGACCTTGATAAAATTTCGTAAGCGATGACGGTGGTGTGGGGACATCTAGTCCCGACACGCATCGTCTCAAGTTACAGCGGCGGCGGCGGGCGATAACAGACCGCGTAACGACGATAAAGCGACGATGATGACGTAGCCGAAGAATGGCGGTGAGAAAGATCATGCATCGACACGTCGAAACACATCAGTAGCCAGTCGGGGATAAGAATAAGAGAAAATACAATAGGTACATATGCTGTTCAGTTTTTGTATTAATACACTTCGTACAAGATTGTGTTTAAATACAGAGCCAATAGTTCTCAATCGATCAAATTGTTCTTTTTAAAATATTCATCGGACATCGTTATCGCATTTACAGGATCGTTCGTACGCACTTCTTTCGCAATTCAACGAATTTTGCGAACTTATATTTAAGCATAAGAATGTTCTCCGACAACCATGAGTACATATGGTCTATACAATCCTCGAAATCGTATATTCTGTTCAGTCTTTTCGGTAATGAATATAGAAGTAACAGAATCGGTAAGTTTTATGTTTTTTATATCGTTAAACATACTGACTTGTAGCGTTAAGGTATTACCGATTTTTACGATTTCGTTTAGCGATGATTTGGTCAGCAATAATCGTTGAATGTCCGCTTTCGTTCGTAACAGCTCTTTCCACGTTGACATGAGAAAGGGTATCTCGTTTCCTCGATTATCGCTTATAGCCAGCTCAACACGGCAAACTCGCGAACGTTTACGCCAATATCGAGATACTTAAAATAGTTACTGGTCAATGAATATCGTCGACCCAGGATACGTGAATTCTGTGGCTTCATCGACGATCTATAAATATATAAACCAATATTAACAGGAAATAATTATTTTTTCAATATTTTTATTAATTTTTTAAGTTAGATCCATAGAAATCGCCATTGTAACGCTGCATGATGTGTGTATATGTATTACACGGCACGACTACAAAACGCGATAGCAGCAGCACATCGAGTGATACCTATGTAGTGTACATTGCTCGCCAGATGCTATATGTTTATCCCCACCATTCCTCGTACAGCACTGCAGTCGCGTGCCAGGTTGATAGTGTCGTCCAGGTAACTCCAAATTAGGTTTTAATACGTTTTTTATTTAACTATTACTTATAAATATGAATACAATTGGACAGAGCGGCGATGAAATGTTGTTGAAGTTCAGAAATCGACTGTGTCATCTCTTTTTTTTTTAGTTTAGTTCAGTGACTGGGTGTGTTCCGTTCCTGGGAGCGTGGCAGTGCCCCCTTACCGGATGTTCATGAGTTATTTGAGTTGGTATTATCTGCAACAAGTATTATTGTTAATTATGTTTAATGTGGTAAAAATGGGAAAAAGTTGCAAAAACCCATCATGGGAAAGACTCTATTAAGAGAAAACCGTGCTGTCTCTGGAGCGCGAACCCAGTGGTGTCAGAAATCAGGATCTTGAGCCGATTATTAGTCAGGTGTGTAGAAGCCAGGTGTGTGCAAGAAGGAGTGCAGATATCGTGCAGAAAGCGTGCAGGTTGCGTTCGTGTTTGTCTGAGTTGCCTGATTCTGGTCAGATGGAGTTTAGGTGCCCGCACTAGCGGGTATAACTTTATTATGGAGGTCGGCAGTGCTCGATATTTAGTGCAAAACGGTGTTTGATTTTATATGGTATTTGGTGCGTCTGATAAGTGCCTGTTTGTTGAACTAGAGGATTGACGTGGTCGTCAACCCTGTAGTTCGATATTAGGTTGTTAATGTATGGAATGATTTTTTCTACATTAGTCTCTTCATGGAGTTTGTTTGTGGAGTAATCTACAGGACGTCCAGTGGTGATTTTTAGAATCCTACTTTGTGTGACTTGTACTTTCTTGATTGTGGTTCGGGCAGCTGCGCACCACACTTGTGCACCGTATAATAAAACTGTTCTTAGGCACACTTTGTATAAAGAGATTTTTAGGTTTCTTCTAAGAATTGAATTTGAGCAAATGTGAGGGTGTAGGGCGGCTGCAGCCTTCCTGGTTTTTTTGATGCTATCGAGCACGGCCGGCCCCCAGTTTAGTCTATAATCTAATACCACACCAAGGTATCTTACCTCCGTTTCCCACGGTATCTGCACTCCTTCAATGGTCAAGGTAGTCGTCGGTGATTTTAGTGGGCGGTATGAGAAAATGATCGCTTGTGTCTTAGCCGGGTTAACGGTAAGTTTCCACTGCTGAAAAAATTGGACTATTTGATCAAGATATGTCTGTTGTCTTTTAATGAGCAGGTTTATGCGCTTGGAGTCAGTTAATAATAATGTATCGTCTGCAAAAAGGGCTAGTTTTGAATCGAAAGTTTGTGGAATGTCGTTTATGTAAATGTTGAAAAAGAAAGGGTCGAAGATGGAGCCTTGTGGGACACCTGCCTCCACGTCGTAGAGTTCGGAGTCTGCGCCACTTACAGAGACATAAATCTTCCTGTCAGAGAGGTATGATTGAATTAGTTTTAAGAGTGTGTCGTTAATACCTATTTTTGCAAGTTTGTACAAAAGTCCTTGGTGCCATACGGTATCGAAGGCCTTCGAGAGGTCAAGCAGCACAGCTCCAGTGTATCTTTTGACATTTAACTGGTGCGTGATCAACTGCGATGTTCTAATGAGTTGATTGATTGTAGAATGGCCGGATCTAAAGCCGAACTGTTGTTTTATGATCACGTTATGCTTATCCAGATGGGCGATGAGGTGCGTTAGCAAGCACCTCTCGAAGACCTTCCCAAGGATCGGGAGGAGACTGATTGGCCTGTAACTGTCAACCAAGTTTTTGATTTTTCCAGGTTTAGGAATCGGGACCACCTTCGCAATTTTCCAGGCGTCTGGAAAATAAGAGTTTTGTATACAGGATCTGAAAATGTAGTGGATCTGAAGTATGATTTTTTTTGAAGCATTTTTGATCATAGGTGCAGTTATTTTGTCTGGCCTTGGGGCTTTTTTGTTTTTAAGTTTCTTGACGACGTCCGCAATCAGTCCCGGGTCGATGTGCAGCTCTTCTAAAATGTTTTTCGGGTTTGTTATTTTGAGGTGATGGATGAATTCTTTTACGTCATTGTCATGCGGTGATTTGAGTTTAGATGTGCTGGAATGGGAGTTTGCAAAAGCTGCAGCAAGCACGTTTGCCTTGTCTAAGTCGGATGTGAGGTGTCGGTTAGGCTGTGATGGACTGTTGAGTGGTGGAACAACTATTTTTTCGTTGGTTAATATTTTGTAGTGCAGCCAAAAAGTTGGGTCTGTCTTATTTAGGGAGCTCAATCTGGTCTCCCAGTTGTCTCTACGTATAGTGGTAACTCTTTGTGCTATTTGTTTGGACACGTCTTTCATTGCGTTAAGGTAATAGAGCGCGTTTGTGCGCTGACGCTTTTTCCGAAGGCCCCTCCTCAGGGCTATGAGAGCGTTGAGGAGTGGGTCATCGGAAAAATTTGGATGCAGTGACCTTTCCGAGAAGGTTGAGGCCCTGCGGTAGCAGGCTATTAAGAATGACTCTAATGTTCGAATGCAGGAATTTGTCTCATCAATGCTATTTAGGTGTTGTTTAATTTGTACACCGTTGGTGTAAGAGTGATATCTTACCCAAGAGACTGTACGCACACAGTTGGGGGAGTGGAACTCACCCTTGCCAGGTTGCAAAAGAACCGGTCTATGTTGGGTGACCAAGTCATCGACAACTTTGCAGACGACTTGAGCCGAATGCTGAACCATGTAGATGTCAATTGTGGAGGGTCTGGTGTTACCAAAGCCGTAAAGCGTGAATTTATCAGGGTATACCAATCTATACGGAGCTCTCAGAGAGTGGTTGTACAGTGTACTACCATTTTTGTTTGAATAGAAGTTGTTCCACGCTCGGTGTTTGGCATTGAAATCGCCGCCAATGATATATGGTGGTGGGAGCTGGGAAATCTGGTTTAGCGCTTGCTGCGTCAACTCGTTGTGTGGTGGAACGTATACGGCTGCGAGAGTGAGTGCGGGCGTCGTCAGGCGGACTGCTACTACTTCTGCAAACGGAATAGGATTTGGTTTTGGTATTTTAAAGTCAATTTCGTTGTGTATTAATATGGCGACACCTCCTCCTTTATGGGGAGGGGGTCGCTCTACGCGGACAATTTTATAGCCAGGAACTGAGAAGGTGGTCGTCGGTTGAAGCCATGTTTCGGTGATTAGGGCTATATTAACTTTATGTCTCTGCAAGGGGACGCAGAGCTCGTTCCTCTTGTGGAGGACCGAGCCCGCGTTCCAAAGGAGCACGGTTGGTACATTGCTGATTATTTCAGAGAAGCTGCTATTTCGGCAAAGGCTGAGAACTGCTC